GTTCCGGTGGTTTCACACAGAGATATTGAGAAAACCCACAGGTGAACTCCCATGTCTTACTACAGACATGCACTTTAATCAGCAGTGTGATAGAGTAAGGCAGTGACCCAGATTTAAGTTTTGCCTTTGTTCATTTAGTGAGCAGTGACCACTGTCAGTCTGTCGTATGTTTGTGCCATATCTAGCACAATGGAAGTCAGGACCAGTGTACAATTAGTGTTAATATGTTTCCTATAGTTGCTGTCTAGAACTGAAAGAATCTATCCATATCGACCTCCAATGTTTAGACATGGGTTTATTTTTTTTAAAAGTAAGTGGTCATAACAGAAATCAGATAAATAAATAGGTGCTTTACTGGTTTTGTCTAGAAAGCTGAAAAAAAATGGGAAGAGAAAAGACAAAACCTCGATCACTATAATGGAAAGGAATTTGAAAAGCTCTTGGAAGAGGCCCAGGCCAATATAATGAAGTCAATTCCTAACCTGGAGATGCCTCCCCAGCCAGCAGCCCTGCCTAAAGGGGATACAGTGGAAAAGCTAGAACTCTCAGGTAAGGTTTGATAGAGTAAATGATGCTAAAGAACTGCCTGTCCCAAAAAGAGATGTTATTTATTTTTCCTACTTTCTAGAATGGTTTCAGTTTACAGATTTCTAGGTTCTTGATCATATCTGTGAGTAAGTCCCTGAGGAATAATGCAGGTCCTGTGGACAGGATGTGAGTGATTTTGCAGATGCCAGTGTGGGTAATGAGCTGAACACGAATTTCCCCATATTGCAACTGAGAGAGTGAGTTTGTCCTTTAGAGATAAAGAATCCTCATGAGCAGGAGAGTAAGAGTACACCTTGCTTTTGACAGAGATGAGAGTATCTGTATACTATACTATATATCTAGTTTTGCACTTAAAAGTTTAGCATTACAGAGAGCTCTAGAAAGAACCACAAAGAGTTTGAGCACGAATGATCTTACCATCAGAAACCTAAGCTCTTTTTATAGACATATTTGTTATCAAAAGAAGATGAAGACATGCCTGAGGTTTCTGGGGGTAAGGAGGCCTTTTAACTTTGCAGAACATGTTCCAACAAATTCCAGCAACTAGAAGCTGAAGCTAGAAAAAGCCACATTAAAAATTAGCTGTCAAATTTTAACATTTAGAGTAAATAATCACTGATGTTTAATTATGAACATAAGGGATTCTCTGCCACTTCAAATCTTTAATCAATACTATGTTTCTTTCTGAAAAGCTGCTCAGGCACAAGCTCTGTGTATGATGCAAGACCTGCTTAAAGAAATCCTTGAATGCATGTTAAATGGAAAGTCAGACAATTTGATCTTAGTGATCCTTGCTAACATCATAATCTTAAGCTGTAAATACAACCAGTGTTTTGGGTTAGTCCCTCAGAGGTTTGAAACTGACCTGTGATGCTGCATAACTGAGTTGTCCTTGGGAAGTAGATAGGTACATAGGAAAGAATGTGGGTAGCACAGAACCTGGCCACCTTCTGCAGTCTGCTAGCACTCTCCCAGCACCTCCAATTGATAGTAGAGGGAATATCCCAGCTTCCTCTTTTTCATATTCATTATGGACCTTTTATCCAGTAATTCCTCTATACTTGCTTATACCATTTGCCTCCCCACTGCTGTCGCAGCAAGCTTCAGGAGCTCACTCCCCATCCTGTGAAGGAGCTTTCCTTCATCTGCTTTAAAATGACCTTGTACCAGCTTCACTAAGTTCCCCATAGTTCTAATATGCTGCAGTTTGGCAAACAGCAGCTCTGCATTCCCTTTATAAAATCATGAAGGAAATGGATAAACCTTGATCATATCCGGGAGGTCTCAGCCTGTCCTGTGGGCTCCAGACTGCAAACTTGCAGTCTTTCCGTCTGGGCCAGCTGCTCCCCCCTCAGGCTTGTTTCAGTTGCCCTTCTCTGACTCCAGTGTCTCCTTCTGGAGCTGTGGAGACTAGAGCTGCATTGGTATTGGCACACCAAGGTTGTAAAGAGCTGCAGAACAATGCCCTGGGGCTTGTGTACACAAATTCATAGAGAATTTGGGAAGAGC